ATACTTCTTATTCAATGAAAGATGATGAACATTAATTTTGTTGCTCAATAATGATCGACCCAAGTACCCGATTTCTTATTTCTTCTTATTATTATTATTGTTATTTATTATTATTATTATTATTTTTTTTTTTTTTTGGGGGGGGGTAAATGAAACCTAGCACCCATTGTCAGGTGAACAAGATACGTTTCTGATAGCTGTCGCCGTGTTTCGAACTAATCTAGCCCTAATTTCCTCCGCAAACGAATTCAGAATTCAGTTCAGTTAGATCTGCGGAGACGAGATTCGCCGCGCCTTCCCCCCCCCCCCCCCCCCCCAAGAGCGTCCCGGCCTGTGTCACTTATTTCTCGTCAAGCGTTTTCTTTGACCTGTACGCTTAACGAGGAGGCTGGATTGCAAGCTCACGAACGAAACACGGCTGCGATATCGGCTGCCCGGGGGGGGGGGGGGGGGGATGCCTCGTGGTCATGCATACAGATGCTGGAGTAGCCATTGACAGTTTACAGGACAACAGGCTCAACGACATCTGCCTCCTGACCAGTGTGCTTACCAGAATGCGCAGGATTCTGGCTCAGGGTAGAAGAATCATCATGAATTATTAAAACAATAATAGTAATAATATTAACGGTAACAATAGTAGTAATAATAATGATAATAATGGTATTGATTATGATAAATGCTAATGATACTGATAATGATAGCAGTAATAATGATAATTAAATAATGATAATGATGATAACAATGATAATAACAATTGTGATAATAGTCATAATAGTAATAATAATAATAACAGTACTGATTTTGTACATACTGGTGCCCGTCTGTATATAAAGAATTAGTGGACGACATTGCCCATCTATGTTACTTTTTGAACGTCTTTAGCTACTATTTTATCATAATCATCATTCTCAGTATTTTCACACTCTGATTACAGTTTTTCATTTTTTGTGTTTCTGATGTCTTCTTTTTACACAATTAGTTTTATTTAGCTATTGTTGTACACTGTTTTTATTGCTTTTTACTGATTTTTGTTTTATAATCTGATTACGTAGTACGTTTCCAATATTACTAGATAGTAAGATCTATCCCAATTCGATTATATAATATAATTTTCATTACTAATACATACTAGATATACCAATACCTTTCATTGTCACAATAAGATTAAATTTTTATCTTTTTTAATCTTTATTAAATTTATTTAATCTTTATTTTTTAATTTCTTATCTTTTTTAAGATTACCTTTTATTTCTTTAATCCTTCCAACCTCACTCTGATCACCTTTCGCCAACGTGTCCGCCTCTGACCTCCAGCAAGAACGCAGAAAAGGTCGCAGAGATGACGCGTCTGTCTCTGTCCTCTCGCCTGAGCATCACGGAGGCTCTGGAGAGGAGAGCGGATGCTGCGATGAGCGAGACGAGGTCAGGACCGCCAGCCAAAGTCAGGAAGGGCTTGCAGGAGGCTTCCAAGGTGAAATGGGGCTTGGAGGAAGACTGTGCGAGGAGGGTGGAGAGTGAGGGGGGGGTGAAGGGGGGAGGAGGGAAGAGAGTGAAGGGGTGAGGAGGGTAGAGAGTGGGGGGTGGGGAGTGAAGGGGGAGGAGGGTAGAGAGTGAGGGGGGTGAAGGGGGAGGAGGTAGAGAGTGAGGGGGGGTGAAGGGGGGAGGAGGGTAGAGAGTGAGGGGGGGTGAAGGGGGAGGAGGGTAGAGAGTGAGGGGGGGGGGTGAAGGGGGAGGAGGTAGAGAGTGAGGGGGGTGAGTGGGGGGGGTGAAGGGGGAGGAGGGTAGAGAGTGAGGGGGGGTGAAGGGGAGGAGGGTAGAGAGTGAGGGGTGGGGGGTGAAGGGGGAGGAGGGAGAGAGTGAGGGGGGGTGAAGGGGGAGGAGGGTAGAGAGTGAGGGGGGGGTGAAGGGGGAGGAGGGTAGAGAGTGAGGGGGGGTGAAGGGGGGAGGAGGGTAGAGAGAGGGGGGGTGAAGGGGGGAGGAGGTAAGAGTGAGGGGGGGAGGGTGAAGGGGGGAGGAGGGTAGAGAGTGAAGGGGGTGTGAGTGAGGGGGGGAAGGGGGAGGAGGGTAGAGAGTGGGGGGGTGAAGGGGGAGGAGGGTAGAGAGTGAAGGGGGTGAAGAGGAGGGTAGAGAGTGAGGGGGGTGGGGGGGGAGGAGGGTAGAGAGTGAGGGGGGGGTGAAGGGGAGGAGGAAGAGAGTGAGGGGGGTGAAGGGGGAGGTGCGCAGCTAAGAATTGGCTAGAGCATTCATGTATGGGAATGATTCTTAATTTTGTAATGAGGTTGGCAGCAGTGTACTTCAAATTCACAAGATTTGTATCTCTAGCTTTTTTTTTTAGCATTATCATTATCTTTTTTTTTTTTTTTTTTTTTTTTTTGAATACCCTCCCTCGCTCTTTGCTCAATCAAGGATTAATTGATTTTTAAGAAATGAATTTACCCTCAGTTTTTTTTCTGAAAGGCATGATATCCACGTATATTATCATAATCACCATTAGTATCATAAACTTCATCACTATCATTATAATTACCAAAACTATTTACCTGAGTGTAACATTGTGAAGTATGGGATGCATATATAACGAAGCTATTCTCTCTCTCCGAATCAGATGTTGCCTGATATTACCCATGGCAACGCCCTCGTCCTTATGATATGCAGCAGCCCGGTGGAGAAAAAAGACCTCCGGGACATAGAAAACGGTTGGACGACGCCGATTTACACCATCTCCTTAGGGTAAGTCGGTCTGTCTGTAGGTTTTTTTTTTTTTTTTTTTTTTTTTTTTTTTTTTTTAAGAACATTATGTATGTCTATGCGTGAGAGAGAGAGAGAGAGGGGGGGGGGAAGAGAGAGAGAGAGAGAGAGAGAGGGGGAGAGAGAGGGAGAGAGAGAGGAGAGAGAGAGAGGAGAGAGAGAGAGAGAGAGAGAGAGAGAGAGAGAGGAGAGAGAGAGATGAGATAAATGAATCTGACTATAGAATCAGAGTGACCCTGAACATTATTTTCTTTATCATTTTTTATATATATATATATATATATATATATATATATATAAATATATATATATATATATATATTTTTTTTTTTTCTTCTTTCTTTTCTTTTTACTACAAAATAAAATTGTCTTGTATCTTTCTTCTTGGAAGAAACGAGTCGAGTGACTTGAGAGAGTTCGTGGAGCAAACGAAAGGCAGATTCATTTCCTTTGACGACGCTCTAGACGAAGATAAACAGCGGGATCTCGTCTTCGATGTGGCCAACTACGTCTCTCAGCCTCGTGAGCCTCCCAGCGAAGCTCCTATTTTCGTAAGGTGTCTTTTTTCCTTTCTCTCTCCTCTGCCGTCATCAGCCGCGTGTGAACCCGTTATCCTTAGCTCCTTAATCATCCTCTTTCCCCGCTTTCAGTCGTCCTCCTCGGATCCTCAGCCGTCCTCTCTCTCAGCTCCCCAGCTGTCCTCTTCAGAAGCGCTTCAGTCGTCCTCTTCATCAGCTCCTCGGTCGTCCTCTTCCGCAGCTACTCAGTCCTCTTCATCAGCTCCACAGGCATCCTCTCTCTCGGTTCCTCAGGTCCTTAGCCGGCCTCTTCATCAGCTCCTCAGCTGTCCTCTCCCTCAGCTCCTTACGCCGTGGCAGCTGGATCGCTTGCTTGCAATCCAGCCTCCGCGCTGAGCAGACAGTTCAAAGAAAACACATGTCAACTAGAAATAGCTGACACAGGCCGGGCCACTCCTGAGAAAAGGCCAGGACGAAACTAGACCGCAAATTTAACTGAACTGAACTGAACCTCAGCTCCCCAGCCGTTCCCTTCCTCAGCTTTCCTCTTCCTCATTTCTTTAGTTGTCCTGCTCTTCATCGTCTTTCCCTCCGTGGCCTCGCATGGGCTGCTAGCGAAATTATCCGTTTCGTAACTGAGACGTCACCAAAAGCTTTTTTTTTTTTTTTTTTTTTTTTTTTTTTGTCAAGCTGTACATTGTACAGCTTGACTTGCTTCTATCAGTGTTTATCTCTCTCCGCTTTCCCTGTAACAACTTGCATGTATTTCATCCTAGGATGCACACATACATAATTTTACTGTGCATATATATATATATATATATATATATATATATATATATATATATATATATATATATATATATATATATATATATATATATATGGTAGTTTTCTATATTACCTTCGCCTCTCCGATATCAACAATTTTGGTATCGTTGGATTCCTATCACTGTCCACATTGCAAATATATAGTTTTTATTGCGCGGAAACCCCCCGTTAGCGACAAAGTTGGCCACGATAGCAGGGGAAAGCATGAAAGGTTCCAGGGAAAATGCGGGGTTGAATAACACTAATGATATAACCCACAGTGAAAATAACCATGGTTATTCACATGACTTTCCATTGCAGGAGGCGATTTACCTCGTAACATTCCCACTGAATCAGCATGCTAACCTTGGCATAGTCAACATTGTATACATATGATTGTAGTATAATCAGGATGAACAAGGTATACCATGAACAGAAGAGCGGCGGTGCCCGCCCTCGTCGGGTCGGCGGGTTTTGCGCCTTTTTCGATGCATCTAGTTCGTGTGCGCTCTATCCTGCCGTGAATACGTGGGGGATATTTTGTGTCCTCGGCGGGGGTTGGGGGGCGGGAGCCCCCCCTCAGGGGGGTTGCAGGGGGCGCGCCCCCTGCAAGGAAAGTCATGCGAATAACCATGGTTTTTCACTGTGGGTTATATTAATAGGGGAATTTTCTATATTACGTCCGCCGCTCCGACATTGTCGCCCCTGCTACCGAGGCCAAGTTTGCCGCTAACGGGGAGTTTCCGCGCAATAAAACCTACATATTTGGATTGTACAGAGTGAGAGGAATCCAACGATACCAAAATCGTCGATATCGGAGAGGCGAAGGTAATATAGAAAATTACCATATATATATATATATATATATATATATATATATATATATATATATATATATATATATATACATATATATATATATATATATATATATATATATATATATATATATAATATATATATATATATATATATATATATATATATATATATATATATATATATATGGGATACGTGTGTGTTTTTAACCATTCATAATCCCGGAATTAAATGTTATACCATAGACTTTCTGTGTTGACCTTTCAATACATTCCAATCATGCGAAAGACCCTTGCTGAAGTTACAAAGGAAACCTGTATTTGTGTACTAGAAAATGGCCAATTTTTCAACTCCCTGCAAAAGGCATAAGTTGACCGACGAATGTCCTCTGTCCGCCATATTTCTTCCCTCCTAACTGCAATGCCTCAAGTTTCCTCTTCTCCTCCTCGCCGTCCCTTTGACGCAGTTGCAAAACGAGACGATTTGGGGCAAGACTGAAGGCTCGAGCGTGCAACTCGACGGCACACCCGGAACCCTCGTCTTCCGCTTAACCACTAACAACCCGGACCACGTGATGGAGCCGCCGTCGGTGAGGCCGCAGCACCCTCCCGGCGAAGCGTACCAGGCCAGGCCACGGGCTGGGTCGTCCTTGAACCAGTGGACCGTGGTCGTTGATGATGCCAGCACAAGGAAGGTAATTTAGCCAGGACGGACGGCTGGAAAATAATTAATCCTTTCCGCCTGTTAACTTACCCTTTTTTGTAATACTTTTCCACCTGTATGCTTACCCTTTTCTAATGCCTCTCCATCCAAATTATCCTTTCATGTAATCTTTCCACCTGAGAGAGAGAGAGAGAGAGAAAGAGGAAGGGAAAAAGAGTAGGAGGAGGAGGAGAAAGGGAAGGAGGGAGAGAAAGAGAGAAGAGGCAGGGAGTGAGTGAGGAAAAGAGAAGGAGAAAGAGAGAGAGAGAGAAATAGAGGGAGAGTAATGATAATGATAATAATAACGATAAATATGATGAAAACAATGATAATGACAACACACAGTCATGATAATCATAACTTCAATTTCACCTTCCCTCCCCTGCCCCATGCCCACCAGCCTGGGGCATGGGTCTGGCAAGTCAACACGACCGACGACGCAAATTCGTTCGTGAGGCTGGAAACGCTTCTGGAGCCCGAGGCTGACGAAGGACCCGGGATTCATGTGGATTCGTGGATCGCCCCGGTGAGTCAGGGCAGGAGAGGCAGAGGGATAAATGGGAAACAAAAGCAACGGCGAGAAACGTGGTATTAAAAAGAATATTAAAGAATTAAAGGATAGTGAAACGATGATTAAAAACTTATATAATGAAAAATAAATAATTCTAAAATATGATCAAAGCTATATATATATATATATATATATATATATATATATATATATATATATATATATATATATATATTTGCTGTATATCTATCTCTCTATTAATCTATTTCTCTATCTATCTATACACATACATATGATCATAATTATTAATAATCGTCCGAGGTATGTGACAATAAAAACACGACCTAGTAGCAAAAAGCCCTAAAGACTCTTTCTCTCTCTTCTCTCTCTTCCTTCAAGATCTCGGGACCTGACGGCGACGCTGGGACATCTGACGGCGTCGTCCTGTTCGCGAGGGTGACGAAGGGCGAAGTCCCGGTCCTGGGCGCCGAGGTCGTGTACGTTCCATATGATAATGATGATAATGATAATGATAATATCCATGATGATATTCATAATGATAATGATAATATCCATGATGATATTCATAATGATAATGATAATGATAATATCCATGATGATATTCATAATGATAATGATAATGATAATATCCATGATGATATTCATAATGATAATGATAATGATCGTATGGTGAATTCATAATGATAGTAATATTATTAATAATAATAATAATATGATAATTATGACATGATGGTAATACAACAAAAAACAATAACATGTATAATACATGAGTATGATAATCACTAACTGGTAATGATGATGGTTAAGTACGTGGGGGTAATGATAACTGTGATGATGATGATGATTAAATACGCGATGATAATAACTATGATGATAATGATGATTAATAATCAATTACGTGATGATGATAATAATCAAGTATATGATAATGATAATTGACCGGTAATGATGATAATGAAGTACATAGTTAAAAGTGCTATAAGTAATTAAGTGACAATGATAATAACAATGAATGACACTAATTACGGACGCTGTTTCGAGTTTTATGATGAAATTAAGCAAGAACTTTACCCGTGGCAAGGATGGTGATATTGTTAACAATGATGATGATAGCAATAATTATGATGATGATTATAGTGATAGGGACGATGATGATAACTATAATAATGATAATAATGATAATAGCAACAATAATAATAATGCTGAGGATAAAAACGGTAATAATAATAAGAATGATAATAAGAATAGCAATGATGATATTATCGATTATGATAACAAAGAAAATATGAGTAATAATTGTTAATGGTACAAAAATAATAACGGTAATGATAATGATAATGGTGATAATAAGAATTATGGAAATTATAGTATC